ATTATGAAGACTGGATGTTTTGTTGTGACTGAAACCAATCAGCGTAGTTTGGAATTATGAAGACTGGATGTTTTGTTGTGACTGAAACCAATCAGTGTAGTTTGGAATTATGAAGACTGGATGTTTTGTTGTGACTGAAACCAATCAGTGTAGTTTGGAATTATGAAGACTGAATGTTTTGTTGTGACTGAAACCAATCAGTGTAGTTTGGAATTATGAAGACTGGATGTTTTGTTGTGACTGAAACCAATCGGTGTAGTTTGGAATTACAAAGACTGGATATTTTGTTGTGACTGAAACCTGAAACTGAAAAATCCTGAATTTCTAAATTAGAATGAATTGGTGTATACCCTTTGAAAACGTATTTATCTTAAATTTTAATTATTTTGTCCTACTTAGGAAGTGAGACTCACAAAGATTTTTGTCAGAAAAAAGAACAAACGACTTTAGAAAACAGTTCTCATTATTAATAACCTTTTATTTCATCAAAAATAAATCTTGAAATACCAGCTATAATTTTCTCAAGTTGTAATTATTGTTATTATGAACTTGCATTTGTCGTTCCACACACACACAATAAAACATATTTCCGGTTCAATACAAAAGAATCTTCTTTAGTCCTATCAATTAAACAATTTAATACAAAAGTTTAATTGTGAACCTTCATACAAACCGCATGCAGGATAGGACTTTTTCTGAGTTTCACATATGTGACTTTGTCCATTTTTCCCCTGGCACGTTACGTACGACCCACTTTGTTAATCAGAAAACTTGAAGAAAATGAAACATTCGCCTTGAGGCCATCTTGTTTCGCGAAAAGTGGTTTGAGCATGCTCACTGTAAACGTATTTCGTCTTTATTAATTAACCTATTTTTTAAAAAAGAACTCAAAAATGGGACAAAATTGTCAGTAACCGAACTTGAAGGCCATTAATGGGTTATTATATTCCTCACAGGTTATAGTTCATAGTTCACCTGGGAAAAAAGTCATCCAAAACGGACAGAGTTTTTTATACGGGTCCGGAGTCCTCCACCTATAAATTCCACCCAGTGGTACAGCGGAATGTCTGCGGGCTTAGAACACTAGAAACCGGGTTTCGATACCCGTGATGGGCAGAGCGCAGATAGCCCTTTGTGTGTAGCTTTGTGCTTAACTACAAACAAACACATATAAATATTGTTGCAACGAAATATAAAATGATAAATAAGAGACTAGAAATGTGTTAAGCCTACATCTGCTTTTTTTGGGCCTAAACATATCTTTAAGTCTGGGCTAATCACCTGATCAACATACTTGACTATGGACTTCAGTTGATTTATCTTAGCTTATTCGTCTACAATCGTTCCTAAATATTTTGATTTTCATTAAAATGTATTTCAATATCGTCTAAGCACATTAGCGCTCTTTTTTTTTTCTCGTTTAAACAATTAGATGCATAATAAGCTAATTGCACTGTGTGCACCGAGATAATCGAACCCTGAATTCTAGAGCTCTGAGTCTTCAAGCGTACTACTGAGCCACTAGAATACAGTGATAGCCGCCTTCTTAACTACAAGAAGCTATACTATGAAATGATAACTTAAAATAAATTATTATTATTATTACTATTATTACTATTATTCCATTTCAACTTCCTTTCGTTGTTTCCATGTTTTGATAACTTAAAATAAATTATTACTATTATTCCATTTCAACTTCCTTTCGTTGTTTCCATGTTTTGATAACTTAAAATAAATTATTATTATTATTCCATTTCAACTTCCTTTCGTTGTTTCCATGTTTTGATTAGCTGCTACATTCAAAATGGCAGTAAAATTGTTAATTTATTTCTTTATCGGATGCAGGCCATATGTTTTAAATATAATAAAGGCTTAACTAATGTTAGGCCTAAGACAAGTAGACTTGCAGATTTCGGGGTCTGCAATTAAAATTTTTTTGTATTATCCTAGAAATCCTGTATTTAAAGAAGTTTATTTGTTTGGAATTTTGCGCAAAGCTGCACGAGGGCTATCTGCGCTAGCCGTCCCTAATTTAGCAGTGAAAGACTAGAGGGAAGGCAGCTAGTCATCACCACCCACCGCCAACTATTGGGCTACTCTTTTACCAACGAACTAAGGGATTGACTGTAACATTATAACGCCCCCACGGCTGAAAGGGCGAGCATGTTTGGTGTGACGGGGATCCGAACCCGCGACCCTCAGATTGCGAGTCAAGCGCCCTAACCACCCACCTGCCCATCCACACAAGTTTAATGTTTGTCGTGTTTTATGCTTGATTAATATCAAATATTTAGCGACATCTGTCGACAGGATCAGCCTTAACAATTTTCTGTTCGATTAAAAAATAAGGACACACTGCTGTAATAAGCCCCATGATTTAATTTAAACCGTAAAAGTCGCGATTCAGTTAATTACAAAAACATATTATAGAAATTGATACCCAAGAATACATATTGTATAGAAATTGTAATTTAAATGTATTTAATAATTAGGATATGTTGTTCTGACAGCTGGAACATAATTATATTATGACGTATATATATATAATTATTGGTGTAATATAAACGTGTTTGAAGACACACTTTTCCTTGAACCTTGATAAGAATACTATATGTGATTAAAAGGTCGAGTATTCTGTGTTTTTGATCCACGAAGTTTCGTAATTTTCCACTAAAATTTTGTAGACTGAACCAATATATGAGGTGTAACTTTATTGTATCCTGGTCGTTATCCAGTTGACTGTTTCATCTATTACCTGCTCAGGGATGCCATCTGGCTCAAGGAAAAGGCAGTGATATGAGTCTGGATAAACCTAAAATAAAAATATTATAACAAGACTTAAAGATGTATCTCGAACATAAGTAAAAACATGAGTGTCAACCAGTGTTGCTATGGGAATCATATGCTACAGTCAGAAGAAAAGTAAAACGTAAATAAATTTAGTTAAATCCTCGTTTGACCTTTACAAGGCACACAGCATCGGTGCTTTCGAACTCTGGGTCCAATTGTACAAGAGGATGAGAATGGTCATCTATTCTTCCTGGACGAGGCCACTCCATCGTTGGCTGACCCCAGCTAACAGCTAACAAGTGTGGTAAATTGTCTTGTTCAAGGACACAACAGCATTAAGCGGGTGAGCATCGAACTCTCAACCATCCGACTACGAGTCCAAAGGAAGTTTATCATAGAATTCTAACAAATAGCGTTGATATGACTTATAAGCACAACAGTGGTTTTTATTATAGAAATGTTACACAGGACACAATAGTAGATGAATACGTGATAATGTTATCTCTAGATTATAGCTAAGTAAAATTGTTATCTCTAGAGTTTTTTCCACCAGTATTCTTGTTTTTGGAAAGAGAGACTGATTTAGAAATTCAAAGTGAAAACAATGCTATTTTAGTGAACAACGTTATCTTGCTGTAAATACCTAAAGGTTATCACAACAATTGGTTTATGTTGACGTTCAGACCACAAGAGCTAAAGAATATGAACAAAACTCATAACATGATCTCTTGAAAGAAACTGAACTCTAATACAGAAAGACACTACTTCTATCTCAGTTTATCCGGCACTATTTATCCAGTAATGTAATCTAAGCACTGCAGCTATTTTCTTTTTTTTGTTCTTCATACCTGATAATTGTTTTAAAAAATACCCAAAGACTGAAGCTTATTCATATAGCTTGCAGCTATAACGATCTAGACCAGGTCATCCTAATGTTCGAGAAAAATCCTTAACCACGTGACCACGCCAAGTAACCAAATAACTTTAAGAAACTGAAGTGTTATCATAACCGATTTACAGAAAATAAATGTGTTAATATTAGAGAAACTTACTGGTCCTTTTACTCTTAAATTCTGTAGGTGCTATAAATAATGTCCAACATTTTCGTTACGTTTCAAATAGGCTGAGAGTGTATAAAAATTACTACATATGGGAAGAAATTCCCATTTAGTCGAAGAAGGCGAGGTAAGACGGTCCCCTTTGGTAAAACGGCCACTCCTGTATATCATTAGTTGCAACATTCTGTCATCTAAATTAGTTATATGTAGCTATTGTTCACGTGACTCTGTGTATAAACACACTGCAAGTACGTTGTGTCATAAATCAATACTCACGAAAAAATAGAGTGAGTCGAACCATTAGCTGGATTCCTTCGCTGTTGGCAATGTTCTCAACCATAAACCCAGTAATACCTTATATGGTTTGACCAGCCTAGGAACTGAGGTTAATTCTAAATCCATTTCTTTAAGCCAATAATGCAACATAATATTCAAAAGTATAAAAATCAATAGAGAATAATAATAATAATAAAAAGAAATAATATTCAACATTATTTTAGATATTATAAATAATGACGTCAATGGAACTAACGAAAATGCACTATGTCAGTATATGATAAAGGTTATCGAAACTTAAATTCACATTCGTAATTAACTTAGTTGTTATACTGTTGCACATACGATTTTAACGAACTGCAAGAATCTCGAAAAAGAAACGTGTATAATAACTTAACGAAGCACGACTTTCCATAAAGTCTTAGAATACTTGCCTTTAAAGTCTTGTCTTTGGTTTTAGAAGTTTCGTAAAGCTTCTTAGCTCCTGATATGTCACAAATCTTGTCCTGGCCGCCATGAAGGATTAGCAAAGGTACATCTATGTTTTGTAGCTCAGCCTGTACTTTCTGTTGTAATTAAAACAAAGGAACCTTTATTCAACATCTGTATCTCAAAGTGTGTTTTCTGTTATAACAAAATAAAAGCATTATTACTCAACATCTACGTCCGTTAGCTCAGCGTACAGTTTCTGTTGTGATGAAGAAAAGAGACGTTACTCAACATTTATGTATTTGTAGCTCGGCATTGGAAGTGAAACGAAATCATTACCTTGTATTGACATTTTTTTTTTTTTTACTGCACGGGTAGGTTCATCCCCGGAAGAAAACATAAATAAATAAAATAATATTTTATTTACTAAATATTTAGTCTTCATCGTTGTATATGAAATAAAAAAAGAAAAACGTTTACTCCTGTTACTGAACGTTTAATCTTCCATTATTTACTCCTGTTGTTAGACGTTTAATCTTCCATTATTTACTCCTGTTGTTAGACGTTTAATCTTCCATTATTTACTCCTATTGTTAGACGTTTAATCTTCCATTATTTACTCCTGTTGTTAGATGTTTAATCTTCCATTATTTATTTCTGTTGTTAGACGTTTAATCTTCCATTATTTACTCCTGTTACTGAACATTTAATCCTCCATTATTTACTCCTGTTACTGAACATTTAATCCTCCATTATTTACTCCTGTTACTGAACATTTAATCCTCCATTATTTACTCCTGTTACTGAACATTTAATCCTCCATTATTTACTCCTGTTGTTAGACGTTTAATCTTCCATTATTTATTTCTGTTGTTAGACGTTTAATCTTCCATTATTTACTCCTATTGCTAGACGTTTAATGTTCCGTTATTTACTCCTGTTACTGAGCGTTTAATCTTCCATTATTTACTCCTGTTACTGAACGTTTAATCTTCCATTATTTACTCCTGTTGTTAGACGTTTAATCTTCCATTACTTACTCCTGTTGTTAGACGTTTAATCTTCCATTATTTACTCCTGTTGTTAGACGTTTAATCTTCCATTATTTACTCCTATTGCTAGACGTTTAATGTTCCGTTAATTACTGTGGCTGAAGGCGTAATCTCTGTCGCGTTAGAATAGAAGAATTTGTTACCCTCTTACGTTACTTACTTGGCTGTCCACTACCACTGTGGTCCACATGTCGAATAATATTTAGTCATTTTATGCTTTTTTCTTCTAACATTCCCTATTGGGTGAATCCACTCATTTTCTCTGTAAACTACCATGAGGACCCCTAGCGGTTATTAGTGGAATTATTTTAATATTCTAATAATTTTGTTGTGTAACTTATATATATATTATTATTATTATTATTAGAAACCCTGTAACCAACAAAGTCGTGGACCACAATGAATTTGGTGCACAAATAATTTAGAAAATTGTGTTTCAAAAGTTAATTCGGACCACCACAGGTAATTCTAGGAGTAACCTAAAAATACATTCTGTAAAAATATATGACTTGTTTTGAATATAACACTGAAACGAACTTACAATTCCAGAAAAAGAGGAAAGCCGAATTATGTTACACAAATAAAAAACTGTCTCGATCCTATGACCGTTATCTATCCTCAACTCTACTCGTACACTGTCTCATCTGATGTGCTGCGGGTAAAGAATCAAAATGGAAGCTTAAGACTGCCAATCTGAAATCTATCTACGGAGGCTTCCGATTGCCACTAGCTACTAGGATAGTGTTCAATTTAGGTTTCGTACTTACCGATGCGTTGTCCAACATAGTTTTAGCCCAGCCTGCTTTGACCCAAGGACCTTTGTACATATACGGATCCTCTAATACCTTCTGTTTGCCTTCTTCCGTCCGAATGACCAGGTCATAGTTCATGGTGCTAACAGGAAAACTGGGAAAGAACCGTCCTAACCAGCTGGCTATGAAACGCTGTTACAATTACAAAAAAAAACAGAAAACAACAAGAACAGATATTCGATATTTCCAAAAATCAAAAATAAAAACGTGGTTTCTAGATCTAGTATTATATTATATTATTTTTAAGAATATTATATTTTCAGCTGTGGGCGCGTTATTGAAGTAACAGTCAATCCCAGTTCTAACTTAAGAGACAAGATTGGCTGTCACTTTTTTAACACACTAGGGGTGCTGCTGACTGCTTACCCTACCTCTGATCAGCAGGTTTAAAATCAGGGACTGCTGTGTCTGAAACTTAAGGTTTCTGACCCAGTCGTTTAGCCATTTGGGGTTTCTGATCTGGTTTCCAGTCTCGTCTATCCAAAATATTAAGTGTCAAACATTCCGTATTTAAAACTTTACCACCATGAGAAATATCCCTAAAAATATTTTTATTTTTCACTCCCCTTTCGACTTAGAAAAAACTCTTGTTAGGGGGGGGGGCTCTTGTCCTAAATGGCCCAAAGCTACACAATGGGCTATCTGTGCTCTGCCCACCACGAGTATCGAAACCTGGTTTCTAGCGTTGTAAGTCCGCAGACATACCGCTGTGCCACTGGTGGGGGGGGGGGCTATTTATCGTTGATAAAAGTTCTCTTTTGAAAAGTATATGGCGGAATTGAGGGCCCGTGTTTTTCGGATTTAGAACCCCGTGCATGGTGAATTCTTCAATAAATATCGTCCAAGGACCGAGCCACGATATGCTACTGAACTTGCTTTACATTTGAATCTGTGAGGGCGTTATAGGTGTAACAGGTAATCATACTATTCTGTTCAATGTAGCCACACACAAACACACATTAAATAATAAATGATCTTAAAAGATTTCTGGCACATCGTTAACAACTGTTCAATGTAGCCACACACACACACTAAATAATAAATGATCTTAAAAGATTTCTGGCACATCGTTAACAACTAATGATAAGCTACTAAATCCTCATCACCTGCAAGTATTCTCGGAATTTTACCTTCAACGGCGTGACTCCTTCAGAATTCCACGAAATACCGGCTGCTATGGCAACAAAGCCACTGATTTCTTCTGGCTTCTTCAGAGCGGCTAAAACGCCAATTGTTCCTCCCTATTATACAAGTGAAAAAGAGCAAGTATTTCACATGAACAATGCAAGTATTTAGTTGTTTTGTTTGAACAATCTTTTACACGTATATCTATATAAAGTGCTATTTTTGTAACTAAAAAAAAAATAAATAGAATTTTTCGTACCTCACTAAAATCCAGCTAGGAATTCTGGGAAATGCTGGAAACATACTCATTGGAATATAATACGAAGATCAAGCCGCAAACGAACTTGGAAACATCTTCACGCTCGTTTTAGCGTTATTATTTGTATTAAGTTGTTAAATAACTAACTTCATTATCATACAGTTATATTGTAATGATTCATTAATTAAATATTATTATAAGCCTTTTTAAGTAAAAATGTGATTTATAGCGTGAATAATTACATATTATATCTAGGCTAATATGTTATTGAGAAGAAGAGGAGCTGAAACTGAGCTCCGCCATAAAAATAGGCCTGTGTATATATATATATATGAACAGACAGTTACTTTTTTTACTTCTTCTAATGACATTTAATCAGTTTGAAAGTATTTGAATTCCACGAAAATGTCTTTGTTTATTTAAGCCAACAGCTGTTTACTAGGTGCACATTTCGTACCATCGAATGTCCGACGAGAAAAACTGGAAGTCCCGGATATTTCTCTTTCATTACATTTACATGACGAAATACATCTTCAACGCAGTTGTCAAGAGTGCCCACCAGGGTACGAGAACCTTCACTTCGACCATGGCCCACTAACCAGAGAGAGGGAAAAAAACTTTAATGATGGATAATATGTACTCAGTTTTGTTGGGCTAGGAAGAAATGCGAAATATTTACAAGTTTAATGATAGGTTTAGCTGAGAAATAATGATTTTAGCAGACAAGTCCTTTAGGTTGGGTTATGTGTTTAATATGGACGATATAATATACATCGCTTACCATGGTCGTGACCAAAAGTTAAAATTCCAGATTTAACAAGAGCTTGGGCCAAGTCTTCATAAATGCAACAATGCTCAGCATATCCATGAGCCACGAAAGCAAGAGCTCTAAAAAAAAGTAAAGAAAAATCTTAAATTAAGTAATAAGAGATGCTTTTTTTACAACTATAAATATCATTTTTAATGTTTTTAGTGTTTCTGTAAGATTTGTACTTACAAAATATTTTTTTTGTAAACACCTCTTAATGTTAATAATGGCTGGAGACGGCTTGAATGGGTAATGAGAAAAAGCTTGAATATAAGTTAAGTTAATAACTAAGTACGAACTAAGTACTAACGTACGTTACGTAACGTTACGGTTACGTTACGTACTATCTACGTACGTTACGTAACGTTACGTTACGTCGTT